TTGTCCAGTCCTTTGTCGGCAGGATGACATTAGCTGACCTGTACCGCCGGAGGAGTTGGTGCTGCTGAAGTGTCTACACTGGCTTTTTGCTCTGCACCCCCATGTATAATTATTTAGCAAAAGGAAAATTAGTGTTTTCGGTAGCGCCCTTCGTCAGCCCTAACCCAGGCAGGATGACACCCACGGACCTTCACCGCCCCGAGGACACGATCCTGCAAAAATGTCCATGTAAGCTCATTGTCCGCACCACCCACACGCTCTTCTTTGGTCAAAGGAAAAATAGTTTTTTGGACGGAATCCAGTCAGGCACTTCGACGGCCATAACCGAGGAAGGACGACATTCTTTAATCTAAACCGCCCAGAGGACATGATGCTGCAACAGTCTTTACTTGGACTTATTGCCATGTCCTTCCTATACGTATTTCTTGTCCATAGTTGGGAGAACGTAAGAGGCCCCAGTTGTCACTATCATGTCCGGGTACCCAACGTAAAACATTGCATGGCCTCCTCCGTATCCTCTACGATTTACAGCGTCGTTCTCCTACCCTCAACATATCACAGACAGGGTAGTCAGAATTTATGTAAAGAAGATTACTTACACGGTGAGTTATTAAGTTGGCGATATGCATTCGCAGTATGGGACAGAAAGGTTTCCCATGCAGTCCTCAGGTTCGCGTTGTACGGCCCAGGCCACAGACGGTACTGCACTTCGTCCACGTACGCCCACACCGCCCGGACAAACGGGTGGCCCCCTCTTTCTTGTACACCTTACAAATGCAGGACAGTTTCTCAGAATCTGTCTTACAAACACTGAACCTGTGCACAGGGCTTTCCTCTAGTTACATTGGAAGCGGAAACCGTTCGCGTGCCGCTAAATACCTTGTTGCCTCATGTGCCCTCCGCACTTGCACGTTAGGATGATGAGCAGCAGTCCTCTACCCTGGCAATACTGCACCACTTTATTGGAGTTGATTTCTTACCTAATTTCATCTGCTGCGATCGTTAAATCACGATACGATTGACTGGCTTTTGGGTTGGCCTGTATCGCTTGCCTACAAGATACAATAAATTATATTGGTAATTGGTCCGCATTTAATAGTCCGTTCACAGCCTATTCGCGCTTTCCGGAGGTTAAAATACCCAGCATTGTTCATGTGTTTATCTCCCGCGCTACCACAGTGCCCGACTGCGACGCGGCCGTTTACGCCGCAGCTGCAGGCCACCTTCACCAAGGCGCTGGGCGATGTGCACAGACAGATTCGCCTCCTGGGGGGTCGCGGTCTGGCGAACATCGCGACCATCACGCCCAAGATTGACCAACTTCTGACTGACCTGGCTGCCGCTGTGACCTCTAAACTCAATCCGGCCGCCGCCAGCGCACCCTCTTCTGGCCCCTACGTGCAGGCGCTGGCCGCTGCTGGCCTGTATCCGTGAGTACTTGTCCTATTCCAATGCTGATTTTTTTGCCTTCTGCTACTGATTTATTTGAAAGGAATAAATATTGGGAGGGGGGGAAATTCATACGAATGGAGTTCACACAGTCCATGGCAGTTGCCCATATGTGACGAGAATTATCGCAAAGGTGCGTAAAGTAGATTACCTTCTACCCTTGTTGGCCGCCGTGTTCACCTATTATGCATGCCCCACGTTCACATTGCCAATAATCAAATGCAGTACTCGTCACGCACACACACACACACAAGATTGACGCTGGTATGTATGTACTGTAGGCAGAAGACATGTGCAAGCCAAGATGGTAGACCTCCTTCACCAGCTGTTCGCTAGATGAAATGCGGCATTAGTCCTGACAATTCGCCCAAGGTCGAACGCTGATGTGACCATTAAGCTCAAGGTTATTGGCCTGATCTAGTACCGCTGCCCACCATAACCTGTTTTGTGCTTTCGGTTTTCAGTCTCCGTCACTGAAAAAGAGAGTATGTTTAGCTCTTCCGACCCGCTACCACCAATCATCACACGTGGCAAGGCCAATCTTCGACACAATCTGGGTCAGCCAGGCCCGCCGTATTAAGTAAATGTACAACCGAACCCTCCCCTAGTAAAAGAAAATTTATGTTACTGACGTAAGCAGCCCTCGTGACTTTTTGAATTGGACTTCTCTCTTCTAGCGACACCAGTCTGAATGCCCTGCGCCTCTGTCTCGAAAAGTCGGTGGGAAAGCCACGTGTCTCGACCGTGAAGACCGTTGTCAGCCAGCTTCTGTCTGTTAGTACCCTCGACAAACTGCCCCCTCTGCAACCGCAGCAACATCTGTCTCAGGTCGACGATGCTCCCGTTACCGGCGGGGAAAACAGCCCAATCTCCGCTCAGTGTGTCCGTCGGTCGGCCAGCGCCTGCGTCGGAGCCGCACTCGCTTCTGCACACGGATACGTCTGCCGCCTGCGCGACGGCCCTAAGCTGCCTACAGATGAAGCTTGCGAACTCGCCGACTTCGAAGCTATTGTTCCCTGGCTCACCAAACAGACGAGTAGGTCCCTCGACCGGGATATAGAACCTTAGCTCCTCCACGTTACGCTCAGCTTGCTTATCTATGCTATCCTCTTCCCTCTCCTAGGTGATCCCATTCTCCTACAAACCTATGCGTTGGCTATAATGGCCATGTGTAAGGTGCGTCCGAGCAGCCTTCTGGGAGAGGAGGCATCTACTCCCAATCTCCGGCTGCGCTCCCTTCGTATCGTCTCGGATTGCTGCTTGAACCCTAAGGTCAGATTTCCAAACTTGCTATCTTATTGGTGTTCTCCTAGGCCAGAGCTGTTTTTGGCACCCTTCGTGTGATCCATGGGTCCGCAAAAATTGTACTGAAAAGGCGAGATGGCGTCTACGTTTGCCCATTTCCAGAGCCATTGTCAGGATATTTTATCACAAACCCGGACAATTTGCATGTTCTACCCGCTTTAACTTAGCCTAGTTGCAGAAGCTTCACCAGTTCGTTCCTGAACGAAACCTCAGTATTATGCTAATCGTTTCGATTCCATGTCCACAACAAAAATCTCTGTATGTCTTCTCTACGGGAGTGGCCGGAACTTCAGTCATTTATTTCATAGGCGAGTGGAATCATGTCCCAAAATTGGCTTTAGTACTCGTGGCACAATAATTTCTCCTAGTGAGGTTTGTCAAACAGCAAGCTGACCTGAACAAACCATAGATTTGTTCTGTGAAACGCGATTAAAAAGGCTGCCGGGTGGACTGGATCAGACCTGCTGCCGCAGCTCCGCCTGAGCAGAGCTGAACGGCCGATCGCTCGTGCTTTGGTCTTTGTGCTTCAACTGTCTTCTTATGTCTGGGTCTATGGAGCCCGCATGTACTTACGGTCTTGTTCGTTAACCTTTCCACCGCCCCTTTTGTTCACTTTTAGGCTTCCATTTATCTGGAGGGATTCCGAGCTCTCGCCTACTGGGTCGGCGCAGCCATTGAACTTCAAATACCACCCGATGATATTCTTTCTCTTGTCCAACTTCTGTCACGAGTAAGCTCCTTGCTATGCAAGCTATCTCTCTTCTGATCTTTCTGAATAAACCACTTGCTTCCCATGTGTCCCTAGCTAACTTTGACTTTGCTGGCTCAAACAGGCGAACCACCATCTCCAAACCTCACTATCAACTGTGTACAAGAACACTCGACTGCCGAACCTACGACGCAGCAGCAGCGTGCCGCAAAGCCAGGCCATGAAGTATTGCTGTAGGCTGTACTCAGTGGCCACTTTTTTAATACTTCTTAGTCAAAGCCTATAACGGGGATAAACTTCGGCCACATAGTCGAAGTCGTCGGGCCACAGTCTACCCTATGCAGAGAATTGTAGTCTCGACCACACCTTCGCTCGACCCCTTATCTGGCACCGCCTCTCTCAACGGGAACTAAAACTAGTATTCACCAAAACCTATGTTCATACACGTGATTGACCAGTCGCGCTGGACCAGAGCCACGGTCAGTGTGAAATTGGACATAATACCGAGCGCTGGTGCTGCACTGGTTTCGCCCTACCTGCCGATGATCCTGGTCGGATCATACTGAGCTGACCGGGCAGTGCCCGTTCACGTATTTCACAACAAATTATTAGCCGGATTTCACACATAGGGGAGGACTGACTGTCCCCATCTTCCATGCTGTTGTCTCGGTTTGGCCGATGCGTATGGTACAGATTCTTGGGACTACGTAAGATTGGCGACCACCGGAACGGCAGTTAACGTTTCTTAGTCTCATGTACACCTACAATCGTTTGCCATTGCAGGCTTTCAAGCTGGACGACGCGGAGGGCCGAACGTTTGGGGCGCACATCGCCGAACACCTGGCTTGGCGTGTAGACCTGCAGGACAGGGCGTTCACATCCACCGGTAGTCCCTGGCTCACTCCTCTGATCACTCTCCTGACGACCGCCTCGCGTGATAGGAGTTCAGCCGTGTGTGTGGCTAGCGAGGAGGCTCTGGCGGTCCTCTGTCAATTGGGCGCGCCCGGCGGCAGCAAAGACAGCGACGCTTACAAGGTGAGATTTGTTCTGAATTCCTTCGTTTGTGACGGATCTTCTGAATGTTGACCGGGGTCCTAATGTTCTTTTTTAGTTCTGTCTTGAGAACGTGGAAGCAGCCAAAAGGCCCATCCTAGAGGAGGTCCTGGGTCGACTAAAGAAACGAAATTGGAACCATGTGTGGCAACGCGGACGTTTGGAAATTGACGATACCTTGATGGACTCCTAAGGTTACCTCGTGCCCACCCCCCCCCCTCTGCCCGCTTGTCACTAGGAGTGAAATAAACTGTGGTGTATGACGCAAGCCTCCTATTGCTAGATGTTGTACTGTTCTCTAGTGCAAACACAAATGCTTCTCAAGGGCTCCGGATACCGGGAGCACGTATGACGTCAAGGACGTACGTTTATTGATAAAATGCACATTCAATAAACACAGTGGGTACATAAAAGACGAAGGCAGTTGGCTAAAAAAAGTCCGTATATAAAACGCTAATATAATGCATGGAAAGTGATCGGGCTTTTATGCACTTTCGACAATTCCCTTCTCGACGACCCGGCGCTTTGCCTCGTCTATCACGTCTTTCAGAGGACGGTCCAGATCCTTGAGGCGCAGATGTGGCTTGGCCCAGGCCACTTTTTCCAGCCAGTTGGGCATGAGGGAAATGAGCTCCTCAATGCGATACAGCGCGCCTTCTAAAGGGAGATGAAGGACAGAGATTGTGAAATGTACTCGCGCGCAGTTTTCATCAGCACAGCGTAGATGTCTGCTACCTGTCTGAAGACCGAGTTCCGAGCCCAGGCGTCCGGGAGAGCAAGACTCCGGTGGTCAACTACTTCATCCTATACCACAGCGACCCATGCGACTCTTCTAATAGATATGATGTGACGATCGTGCTCTCGTAACAAGCGATTTATGTATGACTTATGCGGAAACCTGTCAATGACTGGTGCGACTGAAGGGCCACTTGATGAACATTTCCGCCATGGCTAAGTACGCACCAACATCAGCCGCCGACCAAGGCGATAAATAAACCTATTCGCAGATGCAGCAGTTGGTTGAAAGACTCCGTCGCAGTGATCTGTTAATTTCTGCCGGAGTCTGGAATGGTCGCAGTGCACCCGGCGACTCTTCAAACAGTCGCTATTGGCTGCTTCATGTCATCTGTTGAATCGATGCCGTCCACTGGGTCTTCACAATCCTTTGAAAGGGCCTATGGACTCGACGATACATCCTCGCCGCCACAAAGGTCCGGCCATTCCGTCTACACGGTTGTGAGAACGGTGGGCGGCATGCGTGGAAGACAATCGAAAAGTGGAGGTGTTTGACTACCACTACCTGATGACCATCCTTTGAATGAAGTACACCGACTTGGCTCCGGACGGAATAGCCCTCACTCACTGCGACAACATCGCTCGGATATCTCAAGCCACACAAGAAAGACGATTGAAATAGTTTGGACACTTGGTCGTCCGCCTCACAAGCTTAGTGTCGGCGCGCTCGATTTGGCGTTAATGTCCACGTGGAGGCGCTGAAGGGAGAACCAACGCAAAATATGGCTCGATACAGCTTGCCAAGGCGTGGATGCGGTCTCCGGACCTTCTATGTTCAACCTTCGTGGCTACCGGAAGGAATGGATTGAACTCTCCAGACCGGCTGCCGCAGATCGTCACGCGTTGAGGCATGATCAAGTTGGACTAAGTACAAGTAGGCATAACCCGCATTTCCCTTTCCTCCCAGCAACTTTATACAAAAAGTATTACGGGTGAATTCTGCACCGGTCAGCTTGTATTGTGAGACTGACTCCTCCTCCCCATCTTGGAAGCAAAGCAGATGACCCACTAGCAGTCAGTAAATGATAAAATTGCAAAGAATAACGAATAAAGCGGACTGCTTGTACGTCCTTGTGGCGGAAAATTAAATAGGATAAGCTCGGTCTATCTAAGAGCTATCATTTGATATATGCAACACTAGGCGAGTGCCTTGTAGGTTTTCCAAACGAGTAAAGATGTTTTGTGTCGGGCCATCCGCTGCCATGTGCAAACTTTCTCCCATCGATGTGAGAATATCAAAGAGAATCTAATTATGGTGTTCATGCATTATTTGGTCTTCCTTCACAACGGCATGCTTTGGCGTAATACACGCGAGTGACGGCGTTAAGAGACAACTATCTTACGATTCACTCCAGTTTGAGAATTACTCTTTTTAAAAGTTCTAATCTTTGCCCGTGCGATTTGTTGATTAGACGTGCTCAGACGGCAATTTGTGATAACGTGCCGGCTTATTAACAGGAAATCCATGTTTCGCACATAATCGTACTAGGGTCATACTCGCCAACCTGTTTGCTGAAAATAATTTACAAGTCCGTCTGTATGGTCATATGTTCGGCACGTGAGGCTGTTTAGGTGGCAAAGAAATCGGGGCGGTCGGCCTCCGAGGTGGCTGTGGGATATTTCGGGTGGAAAGAGTTAAATGCCGCAGTGGTACAACCGACATCCCTCCTAAATAGGTCTCAACTGCTGTCAAGTGTGGTCCCTGCCGCAGTCGGTGACACAATCGCCCTCCCATTCTTTGCAACAGGGTTCGATATTTCGTAGTGTACAGCATACGGTGAAATTCCTCAAACAGTGAAACCCTTAGACGTAATTCCAGGTGGAGAAGATCACTTGACTACAGTTTCATAATGTCGCTTCGCAGCAATCAAAAAGGTTACAAACAAGTTTTTGATAGCACGAGTTCTGGACAACCTGGAAATCGCAGTTGAAGTCCGAAAAATGCACGAATTACGGGATACAAAAAGCAAAATATTTCAAATTATCGGATGTTTTTTTTAAGAAACAACTTTCATAAAATAGCGTGGAAGCATCTGCTCATTAAATTTGTGCAAAAGCATCGAAAGAACGTAAAATGTATGCCACACAAGTAGTCATTTTTGCGAGTGCTGGTCGGAGTCCAGTATTCCATTGTGACCAGCGAGGCAACACTATCTGAGCAAAACTCCTAACGGTCAGTTTACCTGATTATAAGGCGAGCTATTAATAAATTACTAATCGATAGCCACCATTAAACAGAAGACGGCAGACATTAACGGACAGCAAGAATCATATGGTCGGGAGACTGCTGAGATGGGGCGTTATGGAAAATAACGAAACGTGCACCCGGGAGACGTGTGATGTGAGTTTCAACTACCGGTCTTCAAAACTCGCAACGGGCACGAACCTGAGGCATTCACCCCAAGTTGTTATCCCGCAAAGTAAGTGATATCGTGGTATTACCGACTTACGAATCAGAATTGTTTTCTAAGACCTCATCAATGTGTAACAAGACAGCGAAACGGAAAAACCGCTGATGGTCCAGTCATATTAACAGTAAAATCTCTAGAGCAGAAGAAGCAAGATATTAAAAAATGGGTTATTAACAGGTCATACGAAACCAACCTTGTGACAGTCCCGTCTCGCTGGACTGAGAGAGCCGAGTTGCAACAGTGGCTACGGGTACGGGCCTACCGCCCAGAGCTCGGAGCTCACGCCAGACTTGAGTTATGGTAGTTGGGAGGCAAGAGAGAGCAAGGCGCTGCTTTTCAGGGATCGGTGGTCGTGTGAGCAATGAGAACTGCATAGCCTTTTCACGCTCGCGAACCTGTGCAAACAGAAGCGTATTCAAGTGAGCAGTTTAGACGACAGATCATGTGGCCCGACGAAGAAGAGAGCTTGAAGAACATTATACTGACTGGTAAAGTAATCTACTTGCGTTTTAAAAAGGGGTTTGTCGCGTGTCCCTAGAAGGTATTCACAAACGCTCTATTTCAGCAAAATAATTTGCATTAAGTAGTGGGTTCTTCTTTATAGTGAGAGTTCCACACAACCGTCGAGCTGCAAATATGCTCCATTAGAAAAAACATACACACTCCTGGAGAAAGTACCTAGGGAAGGAAGCTCACTAGAATACTTGAAGTTCAAAGAGACTTGGGGTTCATCATTTACTCCTTCCCTTGTGGCTGTCAGTCAAGTTATGTGGTTCATATTCGAAAATAGTAGACAAACGAGTGCTAGGGTAAGTGATTGAATGTGGCCTATAATAAAGAGGCATTACGCTCGAGGGAGATTACGCTTGGAGAATTATACTTACTCGTGCCAACAGCGATTCAGATATGCCCTTGAGGGCTGCTACATTGGGCCTTGTAAGTGACCCTGGCGCCTGTGGGGGTGAAGGCACAGCAGTTTGTTTGACATCCTGAGGGTGAGGACAGAGTTTCTCGCAGATTTCCGCTTCACGGAACAGGGCGCGAGCCCGAAAGGCGATAACCGCCTCACTTGCCGAAGTTATTTTACCTTCCTTGGCGTCAGGTTTAGGCGGCAGGGGTGTGGACGGAACGGTGGGGACAGCGGTATCCAGGGGGAATGCCGGATGCCAGCGCTTGAGCGGAGAGTCAGGAGGTAGGTCGGACTCCGGAAGGGCAAGTTTATTTACCAGAAACTCCTGCATAGGTAAAGTGAAAAAAGTCGTAGTACCTGGATAGCGCAAAACAGACTGAATTGGGGATGTTTTATAGCTACGTTGTTACAAGTAGATTGGGCCCAGTCGAAGACTAAGATGCGCGTAAGGCAAGATAGGTACTCCAAGGCAGAACTTGACCTTCGATAACCATACTTCGTGTTGGGTTGCTTTGCCAATTGGCCGACTGAGGATGGAGATAGTTCACGTCCACTCGCAAGGATTGGCCACTCAAAATCTGTCCCGAGGGATAAGTAATTTAATCTCTATTCACCAAGAAATGGTGTTTTTCGAAATTATTGGAAAAGATGAGGGAGATTAAGGGTCCAACCTAGATGGTGTCTGTACTGCTGTCAATCTTTTCTTGGCCACAGCGTGCTTTAATGAGCGGGAAAAAGTATTAGGACTGATCGAACATGCAAAACCGCACATCTGTAGACGAGGGTATGAACTCTAGTGGGGAAAACAGACAAAAGGTAGGAAACTAATAAAAACGTAGACAGCAAATTACCTTATGTGCTCGCCTTACTCTAGCGATAAGGGATTGTTGGAAGCGATGACGTCGCTGTATCAGGCGATTTCCGGTAAATACAAGATGTCCCTTTAAAGGCGAATCGCGTGCCATTTGTGTACCGTCTAGGCAAAAGCAGGTCATTTTTACTATGTTTAATGTAATGCGGAACCGCAACACACGCTTAAAAAATAGGGCAGTGAAACGTAACCCATGTAACGGCACACTTGTCAAGAAATTGGAGTTAATAAACAAAAAATTATCCAAGTGGCATGCCGTACTATCAACTTGCAAAGAACGTTGATAAAAAAAATTAAACCTAACAGGCGGCTTACCGCTTCGCAAGTTGGGAACCAGAACTAGCACATAGGAACTGGTGGGGAGCTTCGTCACTCTATCCAACTGTTTGTCGTAACGGAAGGAGTAGGACTCGGGGTAGACTGTGGCAAACTGAGAAACTATAGTTTCTGTGAAATCGCTGAGAAATAAAGGAAAAATTGTACACACAGAGATTTCTGAATTTTCAAGCAGAACGACAATATAGGTCACTCGTCTTTAGAGAAAAAGCCCATTGTCTTCGCAAAACAAAAAACGGTACTTATTGTTAACGGCCAAATTTCAGAATGGATAACGGGTACTCCGTTTAGCCCGAATAATCCATGCTAGGATGCTCACCGAAAATGCCACGGTACCAATTGACCAAAAGGGGGGTCCGTCAACAAAGACAGGGAAGGCTGGGACGGCCTTCATTAGCTTATCTGGCAGCACCTGCTTATAAAACAACAAAACCAAAACTGGGATAATTTGCGTTCAATGGGCATTAAAGGGGGCGGCAAAAAGTGACAATATTTTTCACTTTTAAAAGGACAGTCACAGTCGGGAAACGGGAAGCAGGTCTTACCTACGGACGAGTTCTTGAACAGCCGTCTTGATCTTATCAAAACTACAGACTTCTGAGCGATTGTGCAGAACGCTGACAACCAAGTCGCATGCCCGAAAAAATTCCATAAGACTGTGCATGTGAGAAGGCAGTGGGAGCGTCGGACTCAATCCAGACTCCACAGCTTCAAAGTGCCTTGAGTCATCAGTATTAGTGGTTTCTGACTGACAAGTGACAGTCGACTTAGTCGGCGTGTAGTGACCAAAAGAGAAAATAAGGGACTTGGTTGGGCTGGCTGAGAATAGATCAGCTTTGTTGGGTCCGGCTTTCTTTGCAGTATCGGAAATAGGAGCGTCCGTCCGTGTTAAGTGCGAGAATTTTCGGTGGGCTGGAACTCGCGGCACCGTTGAGCTGGAAAGCGGGCGCTCTGCTATGTGGGCCTATGGAAAATGAATTAAATACGAGCCCTTGGTTATCATTCCAGGTTTGCTGCGGTTACAATGAAACTGTCGAGTTTACTAACGGGCCTTCGGTAGCATTTCTTTCCCGACATTTTTAGAACTTTCATCTACTGCAGTGAGTCTGGCATTCTGGGCGTTTACGGTAGGTTACGGTGTTTAATTAGCCACTAAATATGTAATTTTAAAACAGGCCACGACAAGAACACAAAAAGCGAGAGTGCACGTCTAGAGTTCACATTTTTCTCAAAGTCACTATGCAAAACATGGATCGCCACTGCACATATTGAGAGTAAAAGTTAACCATTACTTGACAGTGACTTTTCTGGTGGTCACTAGGCAACAAAATCTGATAGACGCCAGGATATGAAGAGTGGATCCGCAAGTACGCATTATTATTCGAAACAAAGCGGAAGCGAAGTTCCACGTCCGCGACCAACATATATGCTTGTAGGCAAGACCTACTCGAACTAACACCGGAGCGCCGTAAATACTTCACCTATCCTTCAAACCAGCAAAAGAAAATCTTGCCATAAAAACTCGACCTTCTATAAACTACAAACCGGATCGTTTTTTGAGAGCAATAACCCGCATAAAGAATATTACCCGGATATGGCGTTCAGTGATCGATTAGCTCTAGGCGGCGCTACGCTGGGAGAAAATCAGTGACTGGAAGTCACAAAGATATTAATTTCAGTTGGATTTTGATGAATTATCAACGGACAGACCTTATAAAAGCAAAGGGAAATACGAATTAACATTTCAGCCTGTGTTTATAGTTGACTGAGTAAAATCTGCACCTCTTGCTTGATCGTGTGAAGGTGATGGAAAGACAAGAACGCAGGTACTATGGTGATCTAGGGTGTTCTCTCCCGGGAAACAAAACAGCATTGCAGTAAGAATTGCGTACCTCAACCTTCGAGCCATCGCTTTTAGCTGCGTCAGATGGTAAGTGAGATGGGGCGTTTTCGGCAGTACCAGTGTCCCGCCTGTTTTCTTTACGTTCAGCTTCAGTTAGGATAGTGAGTTTCGGCTTTCTTGTTTTAGGCTGTCTTTCAGCAGCCTCGGGAGACTCCTTGGGTCGTTTTTGAATGGGTCGGGCGCCAAGGCGCCTGACGCCGTAAAAGTCAGTCAAACGCGCCGACATACAAACTCGACCTAGAAGTTTTGGTCTTTGCGC